TGTCCGGGGCACGGGGGTGATTTGGAATCTCCCTCGAATGTGTAAGAGTTCGAGTGCATTGTCCATCTACTGGAGCGTACAGCAGCGCCTTCGCCCTTCCTCCGCGTCGCAGCGCAGGCCTCGCGGGCCGACGCCGAGATGCGGGAGCGCGTGGCCCGGTCGGAGAGGGAACTGCGCGCGGAGGCCGCGCCGCCCGGCCCCCGCCCACCGTGCCATGCAGCGGCGCCGCCGGCGGTCGAGGATCGACGAAAGGGAAGAGTCAAGCAGCGGCGAAGCATCCTGGCTCGCCTATAGCCCTACCAAAGAATGTTCTAAGAACCTTCTGTGGTTTCCACGAACTGTTCTTCGAACATTTCTGGCTGGGGCTGTCTTGTTTAAACACATGAGGCTTACGTTCTAAGAACATTGCTTTGGTTATAAGAACATTTTTGGGTTCGAAGAACATGTCGTGGTAGGACTATAGGAATGCCGGGACGGTCGGTCCCTGCTCAAAGGAAGAGAAGGAGGAGGGATCGAGGATTGTTATTTTGCATCTTCGGGGCACGAGCTCCGACGTGGGTTCGACGCGGATTCGGCGTGGATCCGGCGTGGACCCGACACGGAGTCGACGCGTTCGAGATGGATTTGACATGGATGCAACACGGACTGCTGGCGAGATGGGACTGACCAGTTCTCTCAAATATGCAACGCAAGTGAAAGGGGACCGAGGGACGATGGTGAGGGGGAGGAGGAGAAGGACCGAGGCGGAACCAATGATCGAGGTCGAGGAGGATCGGGGAGGAGGAGGAGGAGGAGGAGGAGGAGGAGGAGGAGGAGGAGGAGGAGGAGGAGGAGGATAGGAGAGCAGGAGGAGAATGGGGATCGTGTCGCCGCCTTCCCCGCCTCCCCATGCAGCGCCGCCGTTGGCTGCCTCCTCGCCTCACCCAAGGTAGCGCCCAAACCGCGCCCAAAGCGGCCACAGGAGGGCGTCAAGGCAGCCCCAGGTACTTCCAAGACGGCCAGAAAGCGTCCCAAGAGGGCCCCAGGACGGCCATGTGAGGCCCCGGGCCCCCAGAAGGCCTCTGAAGACCAGGGGGCCCCTTCTGGGCCCCAGATGCCCCCAAGAGGCCCCCAGGAGGCCGCCAAGAGGCCACCGGAGGCCCCCAAGAGGCCCCCATCAAGGTTGTCAGACAGCCGGGCACGATGCCCAACAATGATGTTCTCAAAAGGCGACGGCGGCCGCTGATGGGTAGGCGACTTTTGCATCAGCGTCCGCGGCCACGTCGACGGCGAGTCCTGCTCGAAATGGACAGGAGTTGCTGTCGGTGTTCGTCCCCGCTCTGTCAGTACAGCCGGACCGAGGTACAAGATCGAGGTCGGTTCGTAGAGGGTGCCTTGATGTTCTTCGTGCTCGTTGGCTGTTCTTGTGCACCCTGCGGAGAGTACCCTAGGATGTTTTGTGTGCTTCGGCCGACGGAGGGTCTCATGTTCTTGAGCGATGTTCTTCTGGCCTGGGTCCGACTGGATCCGCTTTGATCGCGGCGAGCAAGCGGGTCCTGGGGAAACGGGCCCTGGAGACTTTCCACCGCCGTCGGGCTCTGCGGGCCCCATGCGAGGGCCTCGTGGCCGTCGGGAGCAAACTTAAGTCTGGCGTGTCCCTCTACAGAGGGAATATATATATATGTATATATATATATATATATACATATTTATATTCAAATCCAAAAATAGTCAGGGGACAATTAAACGACTATTGGGCTGGCCTCCAGCCAGTGCCGCCTATCTGGGGGGGGTTAGAGCGATGTTTCGGCGATTCGGGGCCCTCTTGCATTGTCTGGGGGGCCTCTGGGGCCTCTCTTGGCTTCCTCTTGGGCTGTTTTGGGCGGTCGGGGCTCCGGAAGTGGAGTTTTCTATACCCCCTTGTCCCCGGGTGCCGAAAAACATCGGAAATGACGTCGGAAATATCCCCGGGTACGGAAAAACGTCGGAAATAACGTCGGAAATAACGTGCGCCCCCCCCCCCCCCCTCCCCCTGCAGAGCGAAGCTTGAGCGAGCTCAAGTCCACGCTCTCAGAAACTCACACGCCAGATCGGCGGATTTTGGAGCATTTTTGACCATGTTTGGGTATTTGGGGATTCTTGTTTTCGTCCAAAATCCCCCTGTAGGGGGACAGGCCCGACCTGAGTGTAAACGGCTTGGGGCGGAGCGTTCGGGGGAGGGGTAGGCTCAGAGGGCACTGCGTCTTCACATGGACCGAGGCATGATATCGCGAGGTCGGTTCGGGGGGGGGGGACCCTAGTGCTGTTCGTGCTTATTGGATGTCAGTGTGCATCCTGGGGAGGGCACCCTGTTGGCGTCCTGGGTCCGACTGCAGGCTCAGAGAGGAATGCGTTTACCCTCCATCGCCAACTCATTGCCGCGAGGGGCCTGATAGCCAACCCGCCCAGGAACGTGGATTTTCGCTGTCGAGGGCCTCTCGCCGATCTATCGGCGGTGCGTCGCCAAATCTCCGCGTGAGCCAGTCTTCCCGTCGTTCCCCTTAGCTGGGGTCCAGGACCCGTTTCCTTCAGGGCCCGCTTCCCTCAGGCCGACGACTTCCGCCCCCCTGTCGTTGGACAGGGCCTTTGGTGTGGTCTGGGCTGCACTACTGGTGCGGGACCTCGGCCGGAGGGCTGATCCTCTCTGGGGCCTCAGGAGTCCCTGGGGCGCCCCGCCAATTCGGCCCCCTCCCGTTCCTTCGGGTTCGGTTCGGGCTCCTGGGCTTGGACTGAGCCCGCTTGCCTCATGCCCAGTCGTTCACCACCTACCAAACCACCCCAACCCAACCCGAAGGCCCAACTTTACCTTCGATTTCAAACACATGTGGGATCATCGAACAAACACATGTGGGACCCGTACCCCCCCCCCCAACCCGAAACTTGGGTCTTCGGGTTAGGTTGGGGTGGTCCGGTAGGTGGTCGGTCGTCGCCGCCGCCACCGCCACAAGCCGCCGCCGTCGCATCGTCGTCGTCGGAGGTCGGCGGCGTCGACGGCAGCGGCGGAGCGCAGAGGACGCGGAGCGCAGAGGAGGGAAGAAGGGAGTCGTCGTCCTCGTCGTCGCCCTCCTCGTCGTCGTCGTCGTCGTCGTCGTCGTCGTCGTCCTGCTTCTCCTCGTCCTCGCCTCCCCGCCCCGTCCAGGCTGTCGAGACCGGGCCCCATCGTCTCTGGAGGGCAGGAGGAGGGGTGGGGGGCGGAGGATCGAAGACAAACAAAGGACAGCATTGGCATGAGCGTTCGGATCTCCGCGCCAATTTCTCGGATCGGCGCTCCAAGACATCCACGCTGACCTCCGAACGCTTACGACCGTGCAGAGTTGTCATGGGTTTCTTGTTCTAGAAGCTAACGGGGCAAGAAGTGGAGGAGGCAGTGTCTTGACCCGACTTCTGAGCTTCTGGGCCTCCGCTTCCGCGATTTCCAGTGGTGCGGGCGGGATTCGGAGGATGAGAAGCCGATCCTGTTCGCTCCACCTCTCGAATCAGGGGAGCCTCGCGTGCTGAAGCTGCGGACCACTCTGCGGCTCACCGGTTCGCGCATGGGCCAGGCGTGCGCCGCGTTTCGTGTGTGATTCACAGTCTGGACCTGCACTCGTGGCTCCCAAGTCGGATTTCTTTTCCGCACAGTGGAAGCCCATGCCAGGAAACGCCCTGCTTGCCTCCAAGGTGCTCTGGGTATTCTCGGGTTTCGATGGTTTTGCTGCGGAAGGCGTTACGCTCCCACACCAAGAGTCCATGGACGCGCTTGGGTCTCAGGGTCGGGTTTCTTGTGGCAGGTTTCTTCTGGTCGAGCTCCTACTGTATGTGGTCCCCCAGCCGTCGTGGAATCCCTTGGGGGAGCACTTGGCCTCTGATGGGCCGTGGGGGCTTGTGGGCCTCTGGGGCCGTCTTGGGGCCCTCTCTGGGCAGTCGTCTGTCCCTCGTTGGGCGCCCGAGGGCCGTCTTGGAGGTCTGTGGGGCTGTCTTGGGGCCGCCTCGGGGGCCTTTTGAGTCCTCTTGGGGCCCTCGTAGGGCGACTTGTGGGCCTGTTGGTATCCTCTTGGGCCGTCTTGGGGCGATCCGACCCCTTCCTCGGGTGTAGTTTGGCGCCCGTACTCCTCCTCCTCCTCCTCCTCCTCCTCCTCCTCCTCCTCCTCCTCCTCCTCCTCCTCCTCCTCCTCCTCCTACCCCTCCCCCTCCCCCTCCTCCTCCTCCTCCTCCTCCTCCTCCTCCTCCTCCTCCTCCTCCTCCTCATCCTCCTCCTCCCGTGACCCCTGTGGGCCCAGCGGTCCGGCGGGCGCCGCTCCAGGCGCGGCCTGGAGCCCACAATGTGCGGCCATGCGCCCCCGTCCGCGCCCGGGGGCCGCGGGCGCCCGCCGCCGCCGCGTGGAGCTGCCCTGCGGCGTCGGCGGGGGCGCGCGGCGGGGTGCCGCGGCGGGCGCGCGGGCCCGTGCGGGCCCGGAGGTGCTCGCCAGAGGAGGAACATCGGCGGCGAGCGAGGGGGGGGGACGGAGAGAGAGGAGGGGCTCCTCAGAAGGCCTCGCGCCCTCCGAGAAGTCTGATGCGTGTCTTCGGGGAAGGTTTTGAAGCACTTCTCAGCAGGCCGGGGGACTTCCGACCCTTCCTGGAAGGCCCGCCCCTCATCCCCCCTCCTGGGAGCGCCGCCTAGAAAAGGTACCCATACTGCTACCCTTCGCCCGTTTTCCACTTCTGTCGCCCTCCTGACAGGCTCTCGTCGCCACCGTCGGATTCGCCTCGAAGGTATGGTCCGAACGCACCCTGGGAGAGGTCCCAGCAGTAGCGGTATCGGTACCTTTTGATTTCCCCGGCTCGGCGGGAGCGCCGCGGTGGCTGCGCACGCTGCAGCACACCGTTGGGACGGAGCCCTCCATCTGCTCGCTCGCCTCTTCGCGCAGGCGGTCCGGGTAAACTCCGCCAGCTTCGGCGCAGCGATCGCCGCGTGCGAGAAGGCCGCGAGGTGGTGGAGGGCCCTCTCGCTTCTGCGCGGGATGGCAGACAGGAGGCTCGGCCCAGCGTTGGAGGCGCGCACCGCCGCCCTGGGCGCGTGCAGCAGGGCCCAGCGGTGGGAGCGCGCACTGCTCTTGGCCGCGGGGCTGGGCAGGGCCGCGCTCGTCCCAGACCTCGTGTTCTGCAACGCCACGCTTGCTGCCTGCGAGAAGGGTGCGCAGTGGCAGCGGGCGCTTGCGCTGCTGGCCTCGATGCTGCGGGCGGGCCCCCGCCCAGACGCGATCAGCTACACTGCCGCTCTGGGCGCGTGCGACCGCGGCTCTTTCTGGGCGGGGTCGGTCGACCTGCTGGGCAGCATGCGGGAGTCCAGGCTTGCCGCAGACCCGATCCTCCACAACGCCGTGGCCAGTAGCCTGGAGCGGGCCTCGCGCTGGAAGCAAGCCTTGCAGTGGCTCCTCACTGGGCAGCGCCACACCCATGCCCTGGATGGCATGATCTACGCGGCGGCGGCAGCCGCGTGCAGCCAGGCGGGCCAGCCGGCCGCCCTGCTGGCCACCTTGCGCCGCTGCGCACGAAGTGCGGCGACGGCAGCGCGAGGCCACCCTGTCATGGCTGGGACCCGCGTGGCATTGATCTGCGCGCTTCAGCAGCATCTCGTCCCAGCACCACGTCGCGCCTTGGCCGCGCTGATCCGTGGCATCAGCCGTCCAGCCTTGAAGCCCAGCGCCGGCCAGGCGGGCGCCGGCGTCGACGCTGGCCGAGGGCCAGACGACGGGCTGTGGCTGCCCGAGCAGGTGGGGGGGAAACCAGCAAATAGCATCGATACCGTCACTCCCCGGACCTCCTCAAAGGTGCGTCGTGACCAAGCTTTCGACACGAATCCGGCCGTGGCGACGAGGGCCTCCCAGGCGGCCCAAGAAGGCGAGAAGAAGGGGGCGAGGAACGCAGTGTAGTCAATTATCGGTGCCCACTCCTCCGCGGGCAGGTGGCGCCCCTCGCCCGTGAGGGGCTCTGCGACCTGGGCCCCCAGCTGACCTGCGGCGCCCTCGAGCGCGCGCTGGGGCGGCCGGCGCGGGAGGCGGCCGCGCCGGGCCTGCGGCTGCGCCTGCAGGTCGCCTCGCTGCACGCCGGGGCGGCCGCCGAGGCCACGCCCAGGGCGCCCGCGGCCAGGGCGCTGTTCGCGTGGGTCTCCTGGTGGGCGTGTTGTCCACCGCCCTCCACCATGAGTAGGAGGGGGATGGGGGTCCTCCTCCTCCTCCTCCTCCTCCTCCTCCTCCTCCTCCTCCTCCTCCTCCTCCTCCTCCTCCACCTCCTCCACCACCTCCTTCCCCCCTCCAACTTCTGGTGGTGGTGGTGGGAAACATGCCCATCATCTCCTGGGAGCTGCGGGGCGCCCGCGACTGGCGGACCGCCTCGCAGCGTGGGCTGCAAAAAAGCACAGCAAGCATGCAGAAGCGTACACTTGTTTGAGGTCCGGGCGGGTTTCTTAGATCGAAGGCGCTGGGCACGGCATCTGGCGCGCCCCGCGCGCTGGGGAGTGGGGGGTGTCGGCGGGACCCCGTCACCCAGACGTTGTCGGACGCGTTCCAGCGACTGCGCCTCGCCGAAGACGGCCCGGTGGGCCCGGAGAGTCCTGAGCGTCCGCCGGAGGCCCGAGGTGTGGCCCGAGAACCGCCACGGGCAGGGGCTCGGGAGCCCCCAACCCCGCGCGGAGGGGGGTGGGGGAGGGGCGTCCTCCTCCTCCTCCTCCTCCTCCTCCTCCTCCTCCTCCTCCTCTTCCTCCTCCTCCTCCTCCTCCTCCTCCTCCTCCTCCTCCTCCTCCCGAAGGTCTCTTAGAAGCACCGCTGCTTCTTAGAAGGCGCGGGCCTGATCTGCAGATGCAAGGCTGGCGCCTCTTAAGGAACAGCCTCCTTCTAAGAAGCCTCCCCCCCTCCCCCACACCCCCTTCGTGCGCGCCGCCCATGTTGACAAATTCGAGACGGAGGTTCCCCGCCGTTTTGTTCAGCCTCAGGGAGCCCTCGCCCGTCCCCGGGGCTGTCCAGGAACGGCCCGGGACGAGAAGCCAGGCGCGCGGAGAGAGGGTCGGGGGGATGTCTTCCAGGGGAAGGGCCCGTGCCGAAGCATCGCAGGGCCCCTCTGCACTGGGAACGTCGGCGGCCAGTCATGGGAGCCTTGCGTACCCTACGGTGCGTCGACAACATGTTGCAGACCTTCGGGAGTGACCTCCTGAGTGCGGTGGTAAATGGTTTGGGGGTTCGCGAGGAGAGAAATACAGATGTTGATGCAGGATGTGTGGTCAGAAAGAGTGAAGAGTAGGATGTAAAGGTGAGTGCACAAGGAAGTTGGATGTCCGTTGACAGCCTTGAACTCGAGGCTCGCTCTTCGGGGTGCTCGAACTTATTTCTGGGAGGTGGCCCTTGAGTGCGATGGGAGCAACCGAAGTCTAGGGGGGGTTGCCCGGAGAATCAGAAACGGCGGATCTCTTGGAGCAGGGGGTCCGCCCCGTCGGGGGTCAGCAGCCACGTCGCTCCCTCGAGCCCTCGGGCTGGCCCCGGCCCCCGCCGTTCGACTTTCAGCCGTGGTCTCCCCGCGAGCGGTCGGCCACCTGCCATCTGGGACGCGGAATCCGTCCGGGATGTCTATTGGTGGTGCTCCTGGGGCCGCGGGACACAGCCCCCCCCAGACCCCCTCGAGCAGTGAAAACATCACGACGGGAGGTTTTTCCCAGTTTTTGCTCCTTCGGGGCCCTCACCGGGCCTGTGAACCGTCAAAAAACGATTCGGGATGAAAAGTCGGTCCCAGGGTTCAGACCTCGGGGGTCGACGTCATGAAAAAATCATGACGTCGAGGGTCTGAGCCTGGAGTCCCAGTGTGGCGAGAAAATTCCGCCGTTTCGATGTTGTTTTGTGACGCCGGGGTATCGGAGGGTTGGCCTCATCGCTGCCCCTGACTGGCTGACAGACCATGCGCCACGCGGGGTGTGCAGGAACGCTGGCTGATAGAGAGCCTAGGTCTAGGCTACACGCCGGGCCACTGCATTCCGGCTCCCAGTAAAAACTGCACTTTCTGCGTTGAGGATACATGGCGCTACAAGCGGAAACGGCGCGGCAAGTCGTACACAGTGGGACGTCTAAGAGGAGGAACAGGAGGCATGCGCTTTCCTCCTGGGACGACCAAGAGGGGGAGGAAAGAGGATCGGATGAGAAGCAGGATAGAAGGAACACGCGCTGCTGTAGTACCAGGACCTGACGTCTATGTTCTATGTGTGTTGTCGTACTCTCAGCGTTTTTGTTGCATACATCGGCGTTCCAAAAGTTTCGTCATCAATTGAGATTCAATCATCTTACGTTGGGCAGGGCAGGATTCTGGCTTTTGTTTGTCAAACTATAATCGTGTTTTTTTCGTCGGGATTGTAAAATACATCGATTGTTACGCATTGGAAGGAAATCCTGGATTCAGAAATCTTGGATTTCTGATCCGACCGCTCTTGAACCAGCCCGCTAGGACTCTAGGTGGGAAGCGGGGGCAGCTTGGCGTGGTCGGGACAGGGGTCAGCCTCCGCGCGCCCGCTCACGCGGAAGTAGCGGACGAAATTTGCACCATTTTGACGCTCCCATAAGACATGACAAAATGTTGCTGCATCAGCGTAGTGAGGGTACACATCAGACGCTACGATGCAAGTTGCTCTAAGCTTGCACGTCTAAGAGGCGAAAGCATGCAGATTCAGAAGTCGTCGTGCAGCGCGTGTCCCCTTGATGTGCTCGGTCCCGCCCCAATTTGTGTGAGCCCCACCCCGCGCCACGCGCAGATCCGCTCCACGCAGGGCCTGGTGCTGGAGGCTCGCACCGCGGGGGTGGCGGACTCCTCTCTGCTTCGCCCTCGCTCCGGCTCGGGATCCTGCCATGCATTTCAGGTCCTACGGCAGTGGGAAAACAATTCGTGGACACTCCCCCGCTCCCCCAAACTCAAAGTTGGCACGCACGGGGGAGATTGCGGTCGAAGTGGAATTCATCAGACCCGCCGCCAACTTTGAACATGCGGGGGGAAGGGGAGGCGTTCACCGATGAATGTGGCACGCGTGTTCGCTATCTTTTCCGAGGCCTGTACCTCTTGGATCGAGGAGCGAAAGCCTGCATCGACATAGTTTGTTGGAGCCCCGCGCGGATTTCTTGAAGCGGCGCTGGGGAGCCTCCTGGCGGCCCCTCTGGCGGGTTCCTCGCAGATCCCAGAGATCCGCGCGGACATCCGAGACATTGTGTTTACGCCGCTTCTTTCAAAGGAGGAGACAGCACCCAGACCCCGACGATTGGCGTGTGCTAAACGGCCCTGGGCGTCTACTAAACGGCCCCGCCCTGTTCGGTTCCTTCCTTGGGCGCGTTTGCTAACCGGCTTCGCTTGTCGGGGTGCTCATTATCGGGGTGGATGTTCTGCCCTCTATTTTTGTTTTGGAATATTGCCATCCGCTTCGGGTCCTACGCCTTGGAGCTGGCACGGGCGGAGGCGGAGGCGCCACGGCTGGTCGCGGCTCGAGAGACTCATCAGGTTTGACCCCAGGAGGGGTCTGGGCACTGATTTTGAACTGGGCTTTGCCGACATTTCCCCCCTCTCTTGGCCGATCTTGGCCGATTTTCTGGGGGCCCATCCAAGACAGACCCCATGCCGCTTCCAACCTACCCCCCTTTGGCGCTGTCGGGGCGGCCCCCAGCGCGTTTCACACGACAGGGATGGGGTGTGAGATGGGAGTTCCGCGCCAGCTCATGGGATCCGCGTGCGCGTCGAAAGTTCGTCGGAAGAGGATGTACCTAAGCAGATCCAGCTCGCTCCACCCCTTCACCCGCCCAGAAGACGGGAAAGCAATCAGGGGAGGAGGGGGTGGATGTGTACGCTAGGTTCGTGCGGCGCTGGCGCGCCGGCGACGCTGGCGATGGCGTTCAAGGTAGAAGTCTGTGACGCGGAAGCACTGGGGGACACGGTAACGCTACTGTTGAGTCGGGCCTGTCCCTCTACAGGAGGAATACTCAAAGAATGGTCTGGGGACTATTTGTTTAGTATTTCTTGACCATTTTGGAGTATTTTTTGAGTATGTTTTATTTTTCGTTGAGAATCCCCCTGTGGGGGGACACGCCCGACGTAACGCTACTGGACCCGACGGAATTCAACTTTGAAGGATCGGGGCCGCGGTCGATTCAAGGTTTAACGATCGATGCAGTGTCAAAAACCCTGGCGCGCGCCAACGCCGCATGAACCTACCGTAAGTGTAGTCATTACTTTGTTTCGAGCGATCCCCACCCCGAGAGCGCGAGGCAGGATACCCAGAGAGCACCGACTCACCTTGGTCCTGGCGGCCGCGGCATGCAGCCGTCATTTGTCGAAGGCACGGGGCGGGATACCCTGGGAGCACCAGCTCGCTGTGGGCCCGTCGGCCGGGGCAAGCGGGGTGAGTGAGGCGGGCCAGGAGCTCTTTCCTTCGAGTCTACAGCCGCAATCCTTCGGGTGGGAACAAAGGCTCGACCCACAGATGATGCTTTGCCGTGACTTTACGTGGCTGGTGCGTCGCTGAGAAAATTTTGGATGCCTCGACGAAGCCGCTCCAGCGAGGGCCTGGCAGCCGCGGCGTGCAGGGTGTGCGAGGCGTGTCGGGAGTTTACCTCCGAGTCTGAACAACCCCAATCCGTCGGGTGGGAACAAATTCACCGAGCGCGTTCCACTACTCGCCAAGTGCGCACTCGCAAAAATGTAGTTTTTTAAAATACGTTTTCCTCTATGTAATGTATCGTGAATCCCCCGCGGCGGACCAAGGCCATCTGCGAGTAGTTACCTTTGCGAGTCGTGGAACGCGCCTGTCCACATAGGCTCGACTCGCAGTTTATGCTTTGCGTTGCCGTGAGTGCACGTGGATGCTGCGTCGGTGCGAAAATCTGGGTTCCTCCATGAAGCCCACGTCACGTGAGCGACGCAAAACACAATGGGGTCGCCTGTGCCGACATTGGCGCGTAAGCTGCCCGCGGAAGGCCGCGCGTAAGCGCCCTCGCTTCCAATGTAACGTGCCGCGCCGGCGGCCCGCGTAAGCCGCGGCGTATGTCCGCTATGTCATCCTCGCGTAAGACCCGTTTTTGGTCGTCGCTCGCGTGGCGCGCTCCGGCGAGGGCCGCGCCTTCCGGCGCATGCTCGCCAGCGGAGGGCCCGCGGCGGCGGCTCCGACAGAGAGCTCCAAGAGGATTCGAGCTCCATGCCGGAGTGTTCAAGTCAGATCGGATTCTCAGAGGGGGAAAGGCACCCACATACCTCTACCCTGCGCCCGTTTTCCTGTCTTTTCGGCCTCCTGGGAGGCCCTCGTCGCCACCCTTGTATTCCCATCGAAATTCTGGTCAGAACGCACCCCTGGAGAGGTCCGGGGGTCAGCGGTATTGGTACCCGTTGGTCTCCCCAATGTGTATTGTTCTGTTGTGCTGCTTAAGCCATTCTTGCCCGAGCCAGTGTCGTGGACGACGCTTGGGGTCGTGCCCTGCCGTCCCAAAGGTATTGGTATTGGCTCTGGGGGGTGCGGGCGATTGTTTGGGTCAACGGGAGGCATGTCCCGAGCAGCGGACCAGCAGGAGACGACTTGGTTTAGATCTGCAGCCTCTGCTTTGCGCTTTGCGTTGCAAGTCGGCGGGGCGCGGTCCAGTGCCAGATGATCTGATTCGGATCACCCGGCACTCCTGGTCCGCGTTGTAATTCTCTCCAGGGCTCCAGAGGGGTGTTCAACGAGGGGCAGCTGATGTGCACAGCAGTCTTGTCCCTCGCGCTGCCACTGCTGTTTTCTCTCCTGGGACCGTCCTCCTCAATCTGCGGTCTGCCTTCAGGCTCTGATGAGATGCAGACGTCACGTGAGCGACGCAAAACAAAATGGGGTCGCCTGCGCCGACATTGGCGCGTAAGCTGCCCGCGGAAGGCCGCGCGTAAGCGCCCTCGCTTCCAACGTAGCGTGCCGCGCCGGCGGCCCGCGTAAGCCGCAGCGTATGTCCGCTATGTCATCTTCGCGTAAGACCCGTTTTTGATCGTCGCTCGCGTGGCGCGCTCCGGCGAGGGCCGCGCCTTCCGGCACGTGCTCGCCAGCGGAGGGCTTGCGGAAGCGGCACGGCGGCGGCTCCGCCAGAGAGCTCCAAGAGGATTCGAGCTCCATGCTGGAGTGTTCAAGTCAGATCGGATTCTCAGAGGGGGAAAGGCACCCATACACCTCTACCCTGCGCCCGTTTTCCTGCATTTTTCGGCCTGTGGGGGTACCCATAGAAGCTCGGATTAGATACAGCCGGCGCACAGAGTTGAGAAGAGATTTGTGGCCTCGGAGGCTGCAGGCGGACCGGAGTATAAGCGAGGTCGGCTCGGGGAGGGTACCCCCTAGTGTTCTTCGTGTCTGTTGGATGTGCTTGTGCATCCTTGGGGGGGGGGCCCTCGGATGTTCTGTTTGTCTTGGCCGACGGAGGGTCTCATGTCCTTGAAGGATGTTCTTCTGCATCCCAGGTTCAGTGAAGTCGGGCGTATCCCTCTAAAGGAAGAGTTTTCAACAACAGTAAAAATAGTCTGGTGACTGGTGACTATGCTTCGTGCTCTTTTTACTAGTTGTTGGCGATTGCTTGACTGTTTTTACCTAACAGCTCTTGCTGATAGGTTTCCTAGTGGTCTCAAAAGAGAGCATCATGACTCCTCAGGGGGGTCTGGGCGGGACCCGGACAGGCTGCCGCCGAGGCTGCCGCCGAAGCCGAAATCGCTTGGGACATCCTCGCAAAATCGCTCTTGGTGCTCCCAGAACTCCATTCCCGGGCCACATTTTGGATGCCCGGAGCCAACTGTAGGCCACTTCGTGCTCTTCGACTTCCCAGAACTCCATTCCCGGGCCACATTTTGGATGCCCGGAGCCAACTGTAGGCCACTTCGTGCTCTTCGATTCCCAGAACTCCATTCCCGGGCCACATTTTGGATGCCCGGAGCCAACTGTAGGCCACTTCGTGCTCTTCAAGTTCCCAGAACTCCATTCCTGGGCATGATTTTGAATGCCCGGAGCCAACTGTAGGCCACTTCGTGTTCTTCTAGTTCCCAGAACTCCATTCCTGGGCCACATTTTGAATGCTGAGGCAGGCTGATGCTGCGGCCGAGGCAGGCTGAGGCTGAGGCAGGCTGAGGCTGAGGCCGAGGCTGAAGGCAGACTGAGGCTGAGGCTGAAGCAGACTGAGGCTGAGGCTGAGGCAGGCTGAGGCTGAGGCTGAAGCAGGCTGATGCTGAGGCAGGCTGAGGCTGAGGCTGAGGCTGATGCAGGCTGAGGCTGAGGCAGGCTGAGGCTGAGGCCGAGGCTGAAGGCAGACTGAGGCTGAGGCTGAAGCAGGCTGAGGCTGAGGCTGAGGCAGGCTGAGGCTGAGGCTGAGGCTGAGGCTGAGGCTGAGGCTGAGGCAGGCTGAGGCTGAGGCTGTGACTGCGACTGCCGTTGCCGCTGCGACTGTCATCGCGAATGCGACTACGACTGCGAGAACAGCAGAATTCGACAACTGGATTTTCATCTGAATCTTAAGGGGAATGCTTTCAGATATGCTTCTACACATCGCTGTTAGGTTGCTTTGCCGGGATAATTACATTTCTTCCAGAATCCGCCTGTAGGAAAACATGCCCGACCTAATCCTGGGCCCGGCTGTAGTATTAAATCGGGCCTGGGCTTGTCCCTCTACAGGGGGAATATTCAAAATTAGCCTGGCGCAGGACCCAACCATATGCAGTTGTGAATGCCGCAATTGTGCTGGGTGGTGGCGGACGCATGCGGGCGGTGCCACTGGGACCTTCGGTGGAGCTCCCTCTGGGGCCACGAAGCGTTTTACTGGGTGGGTGAAACGCAGGGAGCAAGGGCTGTGCTGGGTGGTGGCGGACGCATGCGGGCGGTGCCACTAGGACCTTCAGTGGAGCTCCCTAAGGGGCCACGGAACGCTGTACTGGGTGGGCGAAACGCAGGGAGCAAGGGCTGTGCTGGGTGGTGGCGGACGCATGCGGGCGGTGCCACTGCGACCTTCGGTGGAGCACCCTATGGGGCCATGAAGCGCTGTGCTGGGTGGGTGAAACGCATGGAGGAGGGAGGACGGGGAGGAGGGAGGGGGAGGAGGAGGAGGAGGGGATGAGGACGGACGCGGGGACCGTCTCTTCAAAACGAGGACCCAACACCACAGGCTGGTTGGGAAATAATAAAAAAGTGGCCAGGAGACGACTTTTTGGCTATTTCTGACAATTTTGGGGATGATTCTGTGGCTATTTTATTTTTTGTCCAAAGTCCCCCTGTAGGAGGACAGGCCCGACATAAATGTAGTACCCGTCTGCCCTTCGTGCTCGGGCCCTGCACCTCCACCTCCGCCTCGCACCCGCGGCGCTCTTCGCTGTGGGCCACCTCCGTGGCGCCTTGGGTCTGCAGCGGAAGGGCTCCTGTGAGGCGCTCCGGCGAAAGGTCGGCGAAAGTAGCACGAGATCGCGGAAGAGCAGCGGAGGGTGTCGGAAGTTTAAGGTGTGTTTTCAAGAGATGGCATCGTTTTTAGGTTCAGGGCTTCCCAGCGCCGACGAAGGGGAACGAATAATGATATAGACACACAAACTCGGAGGTCCGTACGACTTCCTCGGATCGGCGCTCGGCCCCCTTGGGTCCAGCGCCGATCCGAGAAGTCCGCGCGGACCTCCGAGCTCTCATGTGCATGTCGTTGCTTGATCCCCTTTGATCGTGCTCGTGACACTTTCTTACGTCGGCGGCGCCTCGGATCCAAGCTGCGGCCGCGGCTGCGGCAGGGCTGCTGCCGTGCGGCTTGGGCACGGAGGGGCGGCGAGCACGAGGCCGGGAGGGGAGGCGGGAAGGGGCGCGGACGGCCACAGCGCCCCCAGGAAGTGCAGCACGTCGGGTTGCGCCGGAGGCAGGCTCGGCTCGAGGCCCTGCCGCGGGGCTCACGGGACGGGGGTTCAGCGCCAACGGGGGGCGCCGGATCTTGCAGGATCCTGCAGAGCCAGGGGCGCCCTGACCCGGGCTTGGGTGCAGGATCCTGCAGGATCCTGCAAGGCCTGGTTTGCATTGGCCCCGGTCAATACGCCCCGGACTGCCTTTGTCAGTGCGTCTGCGGAGGCACGCTCCTGACACACGCGCTTCCCAGCACGGCGACGTGATTTTTTGCCACGCCGCGTGGGTCCCCCAGAGGCCTAGGCACCTCTTCACCAGAGCCAGAGTCCTTCGTCCCCAGGCCATGTTTTGGGAGGGCCCTGGGGCCCCTGTGAGCGCCCCTGGAGGCTTAAGAGGCTTGACCTTCCCAGCGCGTGGATCCCCCAGAGGCCTAGACATCTCTTCCCTGGGGCCGGTCCTTCGTCCCCAGGCCTCGTTTGGGATGGCCACGGGGCGCCTGTCAGAGGGCCCCTATAGAGGCCTAGGAGGTTTGAGACCTTCCCAACGCGCGGAGGCCTGGGCTCCGCGCTGCGGAGGCCACGTTTTGGTCGTGCTCCCTCTGCCCGCTGGCCGGTCCTGGAGATCCCGCGCGGGGGCGCGTCCCCCTTGCAGCGCCCCCCCCCCCCCGCGGCCCTCGTGGCGGCCAGAGGTGGCCGAGCAGTACAGGGGCGACCGCCTCGGGGCCGTGCGCGCCTTCGCCGCCACGCTGCCGGAGCCCGGCCGGGCGCTGCCGCCGGCGCCGCAGCCGTCGGCGGCGGTGCTGGACGCGGCGGGGTCGGAGCGTCGTCGTCGTCGTCGTCTTCGGGGGCCCCCGAGGGCCTCATGGAGACCTCCTCCTCCTCCTCCTCCTCCTCCCCCTCCTCCTCCTCCTCCTCCTCCTCCTCCTCCTCCTCCTTCGATTGCTTCTATCGATTGCTTCTATCGCCTACAGTCGAATCGTGCGCCAGCGAGGGTCTCAACCCAACGGTCCGCCGAGCTGAGTCTGATCTGATCCATTTCTACTCCTCTTCCTCCTCCTCCTCCTCCTCCTCCTCCTCCTCCTCATCATCATCATCATCATCCTCATCCTCATCCTCATCCTCCTCCTCCTCCTCCTCCTCCTCCTCATCATCATCATATCCTCATCAGCATCATCACCACCATCAGCATCAGCATCATCATTACCATTAGTTATCATTCGCATCCTCATCCTCCTCTCCTCATCATCATCAGCAGCAGCATCATCAGCATCATCGGCATCACCATCATCAGTATCATCATCATGATCGTCATATCTCATCGTCATCGTCATCATCAGCATCATCATCAGCATATCATCATCGTCATCAGCATCAGCATATCATCATCGGCATCAACATCAGCATAAGCGTGAGCATCATCATCGGCATCATCATCATCATCATCGTCATCATCATCATCATCATCGTCATCGTCATCGTCATCGTCATCATCATCATCATCATCATCATCATCATCATCATCATCATCATCATCATCATCATTACCAGCATGACAATCATCATCATCGTCATCATCAGTATCAGCAACACCAATACCATCATTATCACCATCACTTTCACTATCCTATCTCCCCAAGTTGTGTTCCCTCCTCCATCCTCTTTCCCCTCCCCCCGCTCTCTCACATTCAAAGTAGGCCAGGGCGGCCTCACAGTTGCAGACCACGGGCCCAGAGTCCCAAGGCAGCGTCCGACCGACCCCTCCCCCCTTGGCTTCTCCCCTGCCTCCTGCGGGATGTTTTGGGAAGTTCCAGGTCCGCCCTCGAACTCAGCGCAATGGGAAGGGATGGGTGGAAGGGGTATGATGTGTCAGATATGGCGCGAGCGCACCCAGCGAGGCTTCTCCCTCTGGCTGCCCCCTCCCTCCTCTGCTCCTGCCTCCATGTCGCTCCTCCTCCCTCCGCCCTGATGGGGGCGCGCTGGCCGGGCCTGCTCCGAAGACTCAGTCTGCTGCTGCTGCTGCTGCTGCTTTCCTCCCCGCCTCCTCTCGTCCTTATCTCCCCCTCCAGCCCCCCCCCCATCCCCTCCCCGTCCCATCCCTCCCCACCTCGCTTCGTTCCGTCGTCGCAGGCCGCTGAGACACTGCGTGGACCGCAAATCTGGAAAGCAACTGTTAAGAACAACCGTGCTTGGCCCGCTGACCCCGAACATGCTGAAGTGCACTCTCTGACCGCGACTGGCCGCTTCCTGCGCGGCTCTCGGACGCTTCCCCATGCGGATCCGACGTGCTGCACGACGTGGCCGTCGATCGAGCGAACGTCGCGCGGAGCTGCATGGCCTTCTTCGGCTCCAGCACCTCTCTGACTTGGTATCGCTCGGACGTGTGCACTTCTTCTCGGCGGGGATTATGAAGGAGCATACTGGATCATCCTGCGAAAAAAACCACGCACGAAACCGAAAAAGGCACAGGGGATGGACGTCCGAGCGATGGCCAGCTGAGGCGGCTCGAGGTGCCCGTGGCCCGAGCAGGCGCCATTTTTTTCGGGGTGGAGGAGGGCGCAGGGCCGCGGCGCGTGCGGTGGGCGAGCCGCCCCGCCGTACAGACCTCGTGGCATGCTGGAGGGCCGGCGACCGGCTCCCGCAGGCACCTCTCGGGAGCCTTGAGGCGGGGGTCGGTGCAGCCGGGGGTCAGCCAGAGCGCCCGATCTTGCAGGATCCTCTGACCGGGGTTTGGGTGCAGGATCCTGCAGGATCTTGCAGGGTCCTTCGCGTTGACCCCGGTTTGGGTGCAGGATTCTGCATGGCCTGACTGACCCGCAGTCCGGATCGAGCCCGGTCAGCAGGTCCCCGAGTCTCTTCTCTCACAGTTCGGGGGCTGCTAGAAGTCAAGCAGTGGCGAAGCGTCCTGACTCGCCTATAGCCCCACCAAAGAATGTTCTAAGAACCCGTTGTGGTTTCCATGAAATGTTGGGAGAACATTTCTGATTGAGACTGGCTTGGTTTGACACATCGGGTTCATGTTCTAAGAGCATTGTTTTTGTTCTTAGAACATCCTTGGGTTCTAAGAACATTTCGTGGTAGGACTACAGGAATGCCGGGACGGTCGGTCCCTGCTCAACACAGTTCGGGGGCTGCTAGAAGTGCCCCTGGCCCAAGGCGCCCCCGGCTTTTCGCTCCGGTTTGGAGCCCCTTGGGCCCTCTTGGCCTCGTGAGGGGTGACCTCGAGGCCGTCTGGGCCCCCCTGAGAATCCTGGGGGTACCTTGGGCCAGGGGCGTTGACTTCTAGCAACACCCGAACAGTTGCCATCAGCAGGTGAGGGAGCACCGAGCAGTGAGCAAAGCGCTGCACCGACTATTTACCAGTCGTCGCATTTGGGCGTGCAACTCGAACCTTGCCTGCACGTCGCTACGGTCAGCGCATGCGGGACATGCTGACAGCGGCAGCTGGCTTTGTCGTTGCTGCGCGGATTGTGGGATGGAAGGTTGGAACTGGATGTCATCTGCGGCGACTCTGGGTTCGGATCATGCGGAACAGGTGGGCGTTGGCAGTAGGCAGTGTCAGTGATCAGCGGAACCTGACATGCGAAATTGAAGCTGGACGTTGTCAGCCACGGCGCTGGTGGGATCAGCGCGTGCGAGAAAGGGGATCAGCGGCAACACGCAGTGACACTGCTCAACGAGAGGTGGGGTGCGAATCTACAGCCAGACATCATCGTCGTTAACGCTGGGACCAGCGTGTGCGAGAAACGCAGGCAGCTTCAGCGGGCACTGTCGTTGCTCAGCGCTATGTTGTTCCTTCATTCTGCTACTCCTCTCGTGTTCCCTTTCCTTTCGCTTTCCCTTCCTACCTCCTGAGTTTGACGATGGCCAGACGTCTCGTACACTTGACGTCCCAGCTGAAGATGTGTTGCGTCAGTGCACTTGGGTCGCTGCTTCGGCAAGGGAGGTACTGCGCTGCAAAGTGCAGCATCGTCCTTCGCCCCTCTCGACTTGGGTTGCAGATCTTATTCGCGGTCTCCCTTCATTCGGCACGTGATGTCAACGGCACGCGCGCGAGCCAAGACCATGCTGAGTCGTGATTCGGAAGCGGTTGTTCAGCGCGATGTTAAACGCGAAGCTGGAGCCCGACCACGTCATCTCGTTCTCACCGTTCCACCCCGAGATCATCTGCGCCGCTGGGCGCGCCACGGCCCGTGCCCGACTCCAAGAAGAGAAGACGGTGCCGGAGCCAAACATGCCATCTGCTCTGCAGTGCCAGATGAAGCGCGCTGCAGGCAGGGGGGCGGGGGGCCCGCGCGAACCGCGGTCCCCCCGAGAGTCCTCGGCTGCTCCGTCCAGTGGCACTGTGCACCGTTGACTTCTCGTCCCTCCTCCTCCTCCTCCTCCTCCTCCTTTTCCTCCTCCTCCGCCTCCTCCTCCTTTTCCTCCTCCGCCTCCTCCTCTCCTTCTCTCCTCCTCATCCTCCTCCTCCCTCCTCCTCCTCCTCCTCCCTCTCCTCCTCCCCTCCTCTCCTCCTCCTCCTCCTTCCCCTCCTCCTCCTCCCCCCCAGAGGAAAGAAGAGCGTCACCACCGCCACCACCACCACCACCACCACCACCACCACCACCACCACCACCACCAGGTGTGCCACTTCCAGCGAGGCGAGGTCCACGACGCCTCCCCGAGCTGGCGATCGGGGATGCCTCGAGCGTGGGAAGGGGGAGGGGGGGACTTCACACCTCCAGCCGGACCCCCGCTGGCTCCTCGCGCTGGCGGTGGTGGTGCCGCTTCTCCTTGTCCCTCCTCCCTTCCCCTCCTCCTTTTTGGACGTTGGCCAGACATGAAGAGCGAGCTTGTTGCGTTATATGGCAAAACAAATCGCCGACTTAGGCGAATCAACAAACAAATCAAGCCGCGGACAGGTGCGGAAACGGCAGAGCAAAGAGAAAAAGTAAATAATAGTGGCCCACAAGGGCGAGAATAATCCAGTCCGCGGCGACAGGTGAGGGAGGGAAATCATACAACCTTAGCTACCATACGGTAAACCAGAGGAACATAATAGGGGGTACATGCATTCACGGTGGGTGGCGCTGTGACGAGATTCCCCCACCTCCTTACCCTTCTTCCTCCCCTCCCCCCTCTCACCTCCTCCTCCCCCATCCCTTCCCCGCCAAGTAGCATTTTGGCTTAAGCGTTCGCACGGCCGCGCCTCCTTCCTCCTCGCGGGTCCGAGGGATGGCGCTGCCTAGAGGGGCTTGCACGCCGCCACCCGCCGCCGCCGCCCTGGTGGAGGCGGCCGTGCGCGGCGCCGTGCTGGGTGCTGGGCGGAGCGCCGAGGCGCACTGTCGCGGCCGTCGCGCGGTCCGCAGTCTCGGCTGTCCTGTTCAGGACGGCCGAGGCTCCCGCGCCACGTGCTGACGGTGCCGTTCGCGCAGCTCCCGACGTTGCTCCTCCTGACCCTCGCCCCGCTGGTCGCGCTGGTGCCGCGGCCGCCGACCCCGCGGCACGTGCCGCGAAGCGTCGGCGGCGCCGCCAGCGCCGTGCGGCGAGGAAGGCGGCAGGCGGTCCGCCTGTTGCCGACATGGATGGAGAAGGAGGACGAGGTCCTTGCTGGTGTGGCCCCTGTGGGGCCCGCGGCCGCTGCGGCGGCTGGCGGTGCTGCGGGCGCGGCTGCCGTTGGCGGGGACGGAGTCCTCGATGACGGGCCGATGGCCTCGTTCGTGGTGCTGTTGCTGGGCGGTGTGTCGCTCCTCGCCTCGCTGCTGCAGTACCAGCCGCGTCTGGCGGGGCGGCGACCGCGAACGGCGACGAGATGGCGGCGGCGCCGGGCGGTGCTGCTGCTGCTGCTGCTGCTGCTGCTGCTGCTGCTGCTGCTGCTGCTGGTGCCGCTGCTGCCCTCGCCGGCCCCGGGGCCGACGTGGAGGGCGTCGAGCGGAGGCGGGCCCTCTTGGCGCGGGCGGCGGCGATCATCGGCTCCGACGGGCGGTGACCGCCTTCGTGGCCCTTCGGCTCACCAGGCCGCCTCCTTTGGGCCTAGTGCGTGCTTGGGCTAGTCGGCTCTCCAGGCCGCCTCTCCCTTCTTCTGGATGGCCCTGGTGTCTGCCGTGCGCGAGCCTGTTTTTTTTTTTGGTGTTATATATATATATATAAAAACTCTGCCTAGTAGGGCTGTGAGAGGTCCAGCAGGTCGCCCTGCTGGAGCGTGCTGTGTTGTTTGCCACACAGCTCGTGCACTTCAGGCAGTGAGGGCGTTGAGCTCAAAAAATTCTCCGCCAAGTAGTGTCGGGGGGGACGGGCCAAAGAAGGTAATTACTTGCCCGGCGGGGGCGGGGCAGGAGGACCGCTTCCCGCCCGCTCGTCTTCCTCGCCGGGGCTCCGGGGGCGGGGGCCGATGCAAACGGGGGCCAGTCAGAGCGCCAGATACAGCAGGATCCTGCAGAGCCAAGGGCGCACTGACCTGGGCTTGGGTGCAGGACCTTGCAGGATCTTGCAAAGCCTGACTGACCTGGGTCTGGATGGACCCGCGTCGATAGATCCCCGACATCTCTCCGTGGCGAATGTCGGATCGTCGCCATCTCACGGCGGCGCGCCGAGGGGAGGAGGCGGAGGAATCCGAAGAGGGCAGGTTCCCATGCCGCCACAGCTTGCCTCGGTTTCCCCTCCTTACCGGGGCCTCCAGGGGGGCCCTCGTCGCCACCGCCGGTTGCGGCTCGAACTCCTGGTCGGACCGCACCCCCGGGAGAGGTCTGGGGAGCAGCGGTGTCGGTAGTTACCTCTTGGTTTCCCCAAGGAAGCTTCTCGGAAGGCCAGGGCCCCTCCGAGCCTTCTGAGAAGGCCCGCCCCCGCCGCCTCGGGGCGTGCCGCCGATTCTTGCGCCGTGGCGACCCACCCCTTCGCCTTCACCCCGTGGCGGAGCAGCAGGGGGGGGCCCACCGGGGCAGGACAGGGCCGCGGGCCCGGAGCACGACGCGGGCGAGGTCGCGGCGGTCGGGGACGACGCCGTGGAGTGGCGGCTGCCAGGCGGCCTTCGGGGGCCTTCGGGGCCGCTCTCTGCTGCCTGCGGTGCCTGTCTCTTCCGCGGCGGCAGGCGGCGGAAACCGGCGGAAGCGAAATGGAGGCTGGTCCGCCATCGGAAGCCCCAGACCTTTTCGAGCAATGAGAAAGTCACGACGGGAGTTTTTTCGCCATTTTTGCGCCCTCGGGGCCCTTACCGGGCTTCGGGACCGTCAAAAAAGACTCGGGGTGAAAAACCGGTCCCAGGGAATAGGTTCAGACCTCGGGGGTCGACGTAATGAAAAATCATGGCGTCGGGGGTCTGGGTCGGAAGCCAGGGCAAGGCCGGCGGATGCTGGCGGAGGCAAGGGTCGCCCTCCAAGAGATGGCAAGGCTGTGGTCTCGCTCTTCGGCGCTGTCGATTGCGAGAGAGATCGTCGGCAGCGCTGTCGTCGTCGCTGGCGTCGTCGTCTTCGTCGAGGTCGTGGTCCTCGTCGGCGCCGTGGTCGGCGGCCCTGGGCGCCCTCTGCTTTTCCTGTGCGCCCTCGCCTTCTGCGAGAGGGGGAGGCCAAGGAGGGAGAGGATCGAGGATGAGAGAGAGACGGGGATCGAAGAAGAAGAACGGCATGAACACAAACGTTCGCAGCTCCGCGCGGATGTCTTGGATCTGCGCTGGGGCCTCCCGGCAGAGGCGCCGCCCCTGGCGCGCTCCGCGCGCCAGGGGGGGGGTCCAGCGCAGAACCGAGAAATCCGCGCGGAGCGCCGAATATTGTGCTCACGCCGTTATTTCTGCTTCTGGAGGATCGAGGTTTCGTCGTGATCGCGTGTCGGCAGAAGCCACTGTTGCGACGTTGTTGCTGTGTGCATCGAGCCACCGCCAAGCGGTCGGTTGGCACACTGTCGCCAGAGCAAAGCTGCTGTCCGCAGGGTGGCATCTTTGTTTCATACGCGCCCACTGATCATCATGCTCCAGCTCGTGCTACCCATCACGCTGCTGGAAGAGGAACGGGTTTTGAGGATCGGTTCTGCCTCAGTTCGGGGGTTGCCTGGCCCAAGTTCCCCCCAGATTTTCGCTCAAGTCTGGAACCCCTGGGGCCCCCTGGGCCTCGTGAAGTGTGTTCTTGAGGCCGTGGGGGCCTCCTTGGAGACCCTGGGGGCACCTTGGGCCAGGGGCACTCCTGGCAGCACCCGATGTTGTGTGCTCCGGGGGGACCTGTGGCGGTCGGCCCGAGTCTCCGATCCAGGCCGTGGGGCCCAGGCGTGGCCGAAGCCCGACGTGGCCGGACAAGCCCCCGTCGTTCCTCACTCGGCGTTCCCTGTGGTGGCGCGGTGGTCGTATCGTGGCGCCCACGTCGCAGAGCGGATGTCGTTCGGAAAACGACAGGGTGGGCCCAGGGTGTCCTGGAGAATTTCGTTCCCGTTTTCCAGGTGGGTTTCGTGCGGATAGTTTGTTCTTGGCCAGGAGTGAAGACTAACAACGCATCCATGTGAAAATCATTTCTTTTTCGCTCGCCGCTGCGGGCAAACATCCACGCAGAAATCCGCTGCAGCACGTCTGCAAGGCCGGTGCAATGAGCTCTAGAGGTTCGAGCCTCGAATGTGTTGGGCGTGTATATCTGGAGGACTCCCTCTTGAGGAGGCCTCCTGGTCGTGGGGCACGGCGCCATCGGCAGGGGTCGGGTGGGCTTCTGGCTCCCGTCGCTCTGTGTCTCCGGACGGGTCGTGATCGCTGCTCCCCCCCCCCGCAGAGGTCGTGGGCCCCCAGGACGTGCGGCAGGCACACCGTACGGTGAGCGAGTGTGGGTTCGGTGGCCTCTGGAGGCACCCCTCCGCGGAGGCCCCCTGGGACTCCTGGGGCCCGCTCCACAGTCGTGGGGGCTGGAGGACCCAGGGACCCCGACAGCGTGTGCCCGGCCGCGGGGAGCCTTGGGCGCTGCTGGGTGCGCGGCCTCGTCGGCTGCGCGGGGCGTCATTCTTCAGAGGACTGGCCCGCTGGCGTCTGCCTGTTCCGTGCAATTGTGGTGGGGGCATCCTCGGGCGGCGTAGGTGGTCGATGGCGGCGGCAGCACTTTCGACATCAGCGAGCGCCACCCTGATCGAGCCTTCCGTGTGCGAGCTAAGCGATCAGCGTGTACGCAGACAGTTCGACAGACATTGCGGGAGTGTCTCTGTCGGCGCGAGGGCCAGTGAGGAAGGGGAGGGGGATCAAGGAGGACGGATCGAGGATGATGGTGGTCACGTAGGTGTCGTCGTCGTCGTCGTCGTCGTCGTCGTCGTCGTCGTCGTCGTCGTCGTCGTCTTCGTCTTCGTTTTCGGGAGCTCTCTGGGCGCTGCGCGGGGTTCGCGTCGCCGTGGCTGGACGGAATTATTTCGAAAACTTGCCAGGATGGACACCTGGAGGGTCCATGAATTGAGCGCATGTCGGACGGGGACCTCGGGACCCCTGGAGACCTCAGGGGGACCTTTGATGACCTCCAGGGCCGACGAGTGCATCGTCGTTGCTCTCTATTCTGAACACATCCGCCCCCTCGCTCGGGCTGCTTGGGGCCTCGCGCGAGCGCGAGCGCGGGGCGGCCCGTCAGGCGTTCGCGCCCGGGCACGCCAAGGCGCACGGCAGGGGCGGTGTGGGGTCAGCCAGGCCTTTGCACGGGGGGTCCTCTGGCGGCGGGAGGTGCTGAGCCCAGGTCGGCTGCAGAAGAGGCGCGGAGGTGTGGGTCCGTGAGCCCTGGACGGGGGCTCTGGTTCCCAGATCAGACATGAGGCTTCTGCCCAGGGAGCCCTCAGCAGCACCGTGACGGGGACTCACTGGCGGGTGCACTGGCAAAGAGCCGGAAGTTGCCGCTTGCGGGCCTCTCTCTGGCATGGCAGCGTTGCCCGCCTCGGGGAGGATTGGGTTCGCCGGGTCGCTGGCCAGAGTGCCCGTCAGTGGAGTCCCCTTTCCAGAGGGGCGCGGAAGCCCGGGAGCCCATTCGTGGCCGAGGGTCGGGCTGGCCAGGAAGGCCCCCTCGTTCCTGCTCGGGTGCTCCGCGCGGCCGCGGCAGCACCCGAACGGCACCCGCCAGAGTGGCCCTGCGCCGGGGTGACGGCACGGGTGCGCGCTTCCTGCGGCGTCGCCGGTCGAGGGGCACACGGCGAGGGCGGGAGGCCGCCGGGCCTCCGGCCAGGCGCGCCCCCCCCAGCGGTGAGAGTTGTTCGCCATGAGCCACAGGGCACCCCTTCGAGCGGTGCGGATGCCACACCGGGTGGCGAGTCGGCGAGGGCGAAAGGCTTCGAGGATCAAGGTGTTCGGACGTGGTCGTCGGGTCTCGACGGTTATCTTTCGGCCCGGGATCCTTGCCAGCTCCTGCGCCTCGCCAATAGCGTTCTGGGGGTGCTTGAAGCTGCGCCTCGCCGAGAGCGTTCTGGGGTTGCCTGGATCGTCCCGAACGGCCGCCGGAGGGAAGGGGTGGGGGGGCAAAAAGTGCGGTGACCACGCCGTGTGGTGAGTCTCAGTGGGGATTCGAGTCGGTCTCCGACTCCGGACCTGGCCTGTTCTCCGAGGACGTCCTGGGCGACTGGGGCCCCCGAGGTCCCAGAGGCGTGCGGTGGCCGACCGCGCGGTGAGGTCTCTGGTCCGAGGCCACCAGCTGCTTTGCCACCGCACCGCTTTGGGGCCCCCCCTCCAGAGGGGGCTCTGATGGAGCCGGGTGCCTCGGGTGTGTTTCGCCGCCGTGGGCCTCCCGCGTGGCCTTGAAGTGCGGGGCCGTCAAGCAGCGGCTCGGGACGGAAAACGACCCTCCCTCCTTCCCTCCCTCCCTCCCTCCCCCCCTCCCTCCCTTCCTCCCCCCTCCCTCCCTCCCCCCCATGCATCCGACGACCAGATTTTGTTAGTGCGCGGCCCCAGCAACTCTGACCCCTTCCCCAGGGACACTTCTTCATGACCCTGGGGCCCGGAAGCGCCTCCCTAGGCCGAAGCCAAGGAGCACCCCCAGACTGAGGACATCATGTCGAGGGAGGCCCTGGGAGCGAACAGATTGCAAACGTGAAACCCACCAACACTGTCCAGACAAGGTGGTCAGAGATCTCGATCATATTGAGCGCGATGAAAGCTCAAGCCACGTGCACCGCACACAACGGTCCCCGCGCGCCTACCATGCCAACGCGAAGTGAGGGACAAACAACATGGTACAGTAATTGTCCAGTGATGCGGAAGATGCAGAGCGGTTGCTGGTCACGAGAGTTTCCACTTCTTGACAATCCAGAACAACCACGTGTGGAAGCATACCAATGAATTGCGCAGCGACACAACAGAGGCGCCGGGCTGGTCCTTTTCGCCAGCGCATCTCCAATCAGCATTGAAAGTCAGGGAAGACGAATGTGCGTGCGTCGGTGAGGGGCGACAGGCATGTCCTGCTTGCGGGAGGGAGGAGGCGCAGGGAGAGGAGGATTGGGGAGGGCGGGGGAGGTGTAAGAGGAGCATCAGCAGATGCGCGGACCAGAGGCGTTGCTGTCGTTTTACGCAAAGTGTTCCTGCAAGGGCTGGGGAGAGAGCATTCCACGTCGTGATCTTCGTTGTCCTCGTCGTCTTCCCTCCTGCGTCTTCCACATCTGCTCCCCCTGTCCGTCGTCGCCGTCCCCCATCCTCTCATGCACATCTCATCATCACCCGCCTCCTTACGCCCTCCAGAAACCTCCGAGGAGCTCCCACAGCCTTCAAGCATTTCCGAAAACCTGCGACAGCGTCGCAAAACCTTTCGTAAACTCCCGAGCTTCCGAAGACCTCCGAAACCTACTAACAGTTATGCAGTCTGTCCCCACATGTCCTCGCCTCCTCCTCCGTCTCCTCCTCCTCCTCGGCGCCTGCCTGCCTCATTACCAATCAACGGTCATCATCGCCATCATCTTCAGCGTTTTCCTTCCCCCCCCCCCTCCCAGGCACCTCCGAATGCCCGTCAGAGGTGTCGAGCACTTCAGGAGATCTCCGTCGCTGGAGCGCGAGGCCTTGAGCAGGCCGTCGCGGAGGTTGCCCTCAAAGTCGGGCTCAGGAGCGGCTTGGGTTTTCGGGCCGTTCTTTCGGCGTGGACAGACAAGCCGCTTCGTTCCTTGTCCAGAGGTCCTTCTGATAGCATCCGGCATCTAGATCTACGAAGTGTAGAGTGTATAAAGGAAGAGCGAGCGGCATATAAACTTTGGCAGTCCGCGCGCAGTTCTTGGATCCGCGCTGGGGCCCCTGGCGACGCCTCCGGCGCCGCCCTTGGCGCGCTCCGCGCGTCAGGGAGGGGTATCTGGCCCAGATCCAAGAAATCCTCTCGGACCTCCAAAGCTGCTCGTTTACTTTAAACGGAGAAGGTTAAAGGCGAGGTATAAATCGAGCATGTACCGCTGCCGTGCCTGGCTCAAGCCGGGCCCGGCCAAATATATGATTGTGCCTCACTGAGGCGCACGACTTGCATCAGAGATCGGAAAATACCTTTTCCATTGACGATGCCCATCCTATCCTTTACTCCAGATCCCATGCTTCGTCTTGCACTCTTGCTCATGCGATATGAGCCAAAGCCTGGGATATGGCAACGCTTAAAGCGTAACACATACCTAAGCTTACCAGCTTGTTTTCGACTTGGTAGCGGAGCTGGCTACACTCTCGTGTGGCTGGCTCTCGCTCTGATTCCTGTAATCCACGGCACAACTTGGTGGACTACTACTACGGTGGAATACCATGTTGCGCCGGCTCTGCGAGGAGCGGAGCCAGTCCGCGATCGAGCTAGCGGGGCAACCCGCGAACTCGAGACGCTCTCTCCTACTTCACTGCGCTACTTCACTCCCGACTTCCACCAGATGCCAATCGGCAACTCGATCGAGAACGTGGTCACCCTGCGGGGCTACCCGCAGCGGGGCCACCTGCATCCCGTGCCAGTCAGGCGCCTCACGGCTACTACGCCAGAGCCTGACAAACCACAGCCTAAACCAATCACCGAAGCCGAAATGCACATGCACTGGATCAAGATAACTATCTTCGGCATTCTGTGGGTAATAATGGGATGTGCTGTGGGATACATGCGGCAGGGGATGGACGACACGCGTACTACTGGCCCTTCATGGGACCCTGCCGGTACTACGCCTTTTCGCGAATACGTTCGCGAAGTACATGCATGGTTAAACGTAACGAGTGGCAATATGACACCACCACAACAAGCTGCAGCACTACAACGAGGCCTTCAAGGTCTGGCTCGTCGTATCGCCATGCAGGTCCCCTCCCAGATCATCAATTATGGTGTAACTGTCAATGGACAGCCAACGGATGCAGTAACATATATACTGTACTTACTGAGCACCAAATTTGAAAATCTGGAAGATGAGCGCCAGCTCAACTCTGGCACTGCCCTTATCGACTTCCGCGTCGAAAGGGGCGAGCGAATCGACTCAGTATTAGCTCGATTCGAGATGGCCCGTGACGAGGCTAACTCTGTTGGCTTTGTCATCCCCAACTTTCAGATCCTAACGCTGATTCTCTTCAGAGCGTTAGGCGTTGGCGCGTCACGAGCCCAACACCTGCTTGAGCCCTTCAATCATCAGATGCCCCGAACACAAGCAGACTATGACAGGCTGCTGACCAGGATGAGGAACTACGGACATGTTGCCGAGCGCTCTCCTGGCAACATAGCGGGTATCTTCACAGGGCACCACTCACATGCAGGTGTCTACGCCACGACTGCGGGGTCACCCGCTGGTCCTGGCGAGCCAAATCCCTGGGCTGACCCAGCCGATATGCCCAACGAGGCCACTGCCCTTTTAGGGCAGACTGGCCAGGCATCGGCAGAGGCAGCTGAGGCGAACGCCTGGTCGAACTACTCGCCAGGCGCCGCCTACACTGCAAGCCCGCCCTCGGGCACAACCCTCTGGGGCCAAGCGGAGTCATCCGCTCAAGGGTCTCAGCCGCCCTCACCGTTTGAATCTGGCACTGACACGGATACCTCATCTGACGATGAGCACAATGGCATAGTCTCTGCTGGTAATGACTACCCAGCGGATGACACTCACCTCTCTGAACAACAAAGAGCGGAAGCCGCCTTTATGGCTTATCGCAAATCAAAACGCCGTTGGAGGCGCTTTATGAAGAAACCAGTCAGAAAGGTGAGACGTGCAGTACGCCGACATTTCAAACGATTTGGAAAGGGTCGTGGCAAAGGGGGTCGCAGACGCCGTATGCATGGTAGGGGTATTACTGCTTTCCTCACGTCCTTAACTGATATGGCTTTTGAAGAAGTTCTTATCGGAGGCAAAGGTCGGGGTCACAGGCGGACCTCCGGTAAGGGAAAAGGGCGGAGGGGCAACCCTAGGGACGCTTCTGGCAATACTATGAAGTGTCATACATGCGGTAGCACAGAGCATTTGCGCGATCAATGCCCGAAGGGGAAAGGAAAGGGATCCGTACATTTGGCTCAAAATTCTTTTATGGATGACATAGATTACATTGACTACGAGTTTTACGTCAATCCAGAAGCGGCTCCCGCCGCGGGCTCCTCCACGTATTACGTGATGGCCCGCTACGCTGAAGCAACTGTAGCCCTGGAAGACTACGCAGTGACCCTCTTCGACGAGTTCCACGGCTGGGACGAGGTCGACGAGG